GGATTAAATTTAGATTTTTTTTGTCAGTGGCCTACACACAATACCCCATAATGTCAAAGTGGAATTATGTTTTTTGACATTTTTACAAATTAATAAAAAATTTAAAGCTGAAATGTATTGAGTCAATAAGTATTCAACCCCTTTTTTATGGCAAGCGTAAATAAGTCCAGGAGTAAAAACGTATTTAACAAGTCACATAATAAGTTTCATGGACTCACTCTGTGCGCAATAATAGTGTTTAACATGATTTTTTTATGACTACCTCATCTCTGTACCCCACACATACAATTATCTGTAAGGTAAACACAGATTCAACCACAAAGATCAGGGAGGTTTTCCAATGTCTCACAAAGAAGGGCACCTAAAACGAAGACATTGAATATCCCTTTGAGCATGGTGAAGTTATTAATTACACTTTGGATGGTGTATCAATACACCCAGTCACTACAAAGATACAGGCGTCCTTCCTAACTCAGTTGCCGAAGTGGAAGGAAACCGCTCAGGGATTTCATCATGAGGCCAATGGTGACTTTAAAAAAATTACAAAGCTGAATGGCTGTGATAGGAGAAAACTGAGGATGGTTCAACAACATTGTAGTTACTCCACAATACTAACCTAATTAACACAGTGAAAAGAAGGAAGCATGTACAGAATAAAAATATTCCAAAACATGCATCCTGTTTGCAAAAGGCACTAAAGTAATACTGCAAAGAATGTAGCAAAGCTTTTTGTCCTGAATACAAAGTGTTATGTTTGGGACAAATCCAATACAACACATTACTGAGTACCACTCCATATTTTCAAGCAGAGTGGTGGCTGCATCATGTTATGGTATGCTTGTAATCATTAAGGACTGGGGAGTTTTTCAGGATAAAAAAGAAATGGAATGGAGCTAAGCACAGGCAAAATCGAAGAGGAATACCTGGTTCAGTCTGCTTTCCACTAGACACTGGGAGATTAATTCACATTTCAGCAGGACAATAACCTAAAACACAAGGCCCTACACTGGAGTTGCTTACCAAGAAAACAGTGAATGTTCCTGAGTGGCTGAGTTACAGTTTTGACTTACATCTACTTGGAAATCTATGGCAAGACCTGAAAATGGTTGTCTAGCAATGATCAACAACCAATTTAACAGAGCTTGAAGAATTTTGAAAAGAACAATGGGCAAATGTGCACAATCCAGGTGTGGAAAGCTCTTAGAGACTTACCCAGAAAGACTCACAGCTGTAATTGCTGCCAAAGGTGCTTCTGCATAGTATTGACTCAGGAGTGTGAATACTTATGTAAATTAGATATTTCTGTATTTCATTTTCAATAAATTAGCAAAAATGTCTAAAAACACGTTTTCACATTGTCATGATGGGGTATTGTGTGTAGCTCTGTGAAGAAAAAAAAAGTAATATATTTTGTATTCAGGCTGTAACACAACAAAATGTGGAAAAAGTCAAGGGGTATGAATACTTTCTGAAGGCACATACAGTATTAACGCCTTTATTTTCCATCCCCTACCAGACTGACATTTCTTGATCTCCAACAGTATTCAGTGAATCACCCATGACCCCTTTGTCCTTATGTTGATGAATGACTGCCGTATAGCCATTTTGTCAGATTCTGGTGCAGTGGAGTCGATACTGTCACCTTGACAAGAAAACTTTATGATTCATCAGCCTTCAAGGCTGTCTAGCCTCAACCCAAACCTGGCAAGAGATGCTCACTGTATGGGGCATCATCAGCATCATCCAAAACCCTTCACCCAGACCCAGTGTGTTACATAGCAGCCCTCTGTGAGATCAGATAAATGGCTCTCGTTACAGTCAGCCTTATAGGGAGGAAGAAATTAAACACTTGACTTGTACTAATAGCCCAGAAACCAAACTGGTCACCAAAGGTCTGAAAACGAAGCACTCTGTCACTTCCCAGCTTGGGAAATTAGCAAATAACGTTCCCTTCCCCCTGACAAATGTATGACAGCTACCCTTCCATCTATCATTCTCTTACGTTATGATGCATGTCCCGGATCCCCACTAGAATATACAGGCAACGTTTACTGACCCTCAATTTACCCATGACAAATGGGGTCCCGGTTAATGTGCTATTTCTGGGGCGAGGTAGGGGTTCATTTGAACACAATCCCGGGTATAGGGATGTAACTGATTAGGATAAATAGTAGCTGAGTGTGTTAGCAGCAGTGCTAGCACTTCATATTACTAAGGGTCTCCATAGGGAGTGGTCCTGGGAGGGTAGCTCTCGTAGAAATCAAGTCTAGCTAGAAACCAAAAGCTCTCATGCAATTAGAGTTTCAAAGTCAATGTTTTTACTGATAGTTTACTCTTTTGCACTGGCGTCGCCTATAGTAACTTTATGGTAAAAAAGCAATCACATAAGTTTTACCCAATTTAAGTCACATATGGCCCTTTATAAAAGCCTTTAAGAACAAACACAGATCCTCTATGCAGTAGTTCATAAAGTGTGAAGTATTGAGAAGAGGACAGCTGGACCTGCACCTTTTTGATTTGCTAACCTTGCTAACCTAGTTTGATCCTCCAGCCACCCTGACCAATTGATAACCAATACTGGGATCAGATATAGGACAAACCACCTCCATGTGACAATAACCCACTGGGCACAGATGTCAGTTCAACATCTAGTTTTGATTTACATTTGGTTGAGTTGTCAACTAATGTGAATTCAACGTGAAATCAACAGAAAGTGTCACCATGTCATTCGATTTAGGTTAAAGGTAGGGTGAAAAAAAATACAAATGCCATTACGTTGATTACTTTTTGCAAATCCAATTCGTTTTCCACGTTGATTCAACGTCATCACAGATTTTTGGGGTTGAAATTACATGGAAACAACATTGATTAAACCAGTTTTTGGAATACACTATCTCCTTTTCCTAAAGTAGAACAAGTCAGTAAACATTGATACATTAAGCATGTGTGGATTATGAAGCAATTGTTTTATTACTGATAATAAACCTATGGCCACAGTGAAACATACAGTACATAGCTTAATAAAGCATCCTCTGAAGTTTTGTAGCATTATGTGTCTTTGTAGCTGGTGTTTCCATGATTGAACATACTCAATGCATACAGGATTATTGATGTATACTACGTGGTGCTCACATCCTCTGACTGAATTGTTAGTTTTGGAGGTGGTCCAGAATACTAACCCTACAAGACACCACCCTCTGCCATTAGAATTGACTGCAATGTACTCTATGTTGACTCTTGGTAATTTGTGATAATTTATTAAATTGAGCGAGTTAAATCTCCACAATTAGGGCCGGTCGGGCGAGAAGAGTCAACATGAAAAGGTCTAAAAGCGCTTCTCTCAACGACATGCCGCAAAGTCACGCTTGAAGGATAGCTTTGATAAATGGACCTTTGATATGCACACGATGCCTGGCCACCGAAATGACAGGAGCATGTCCTCTTTTTGTTGCCTGTCCACGTTGTACTTAACTGTCCGAGAGGTAATGTCCCCCTATCAACTAGCAATTACTGTACATCTGGAGTAAGTGTTAATTCTGTCGTTAAGTTCCAGGAGCTCGTTAACAGTTTCATGTCGACCCTGGTACAATCAGGGTGATCCAATCTGGGAATAGCAGTAGGCTGAGGAGCTAGACTTGTCTTATTGGTGGCTCTCTCTTTTAATTCACAAAACTAATCAATTGTACTGCCGTTGCCTCCCAGGGTAATTGTATCTTTCTACTAACTGGAACAGAGCAGGAACCAGAGAAGGAAGAAGGAAGAAAATCAACATGGATCCAGAAGGGGGTTCCCCCAGTAAAACCTGATGGTAATCATCCCAATCCGCTTAGCCCGTGTGACTAATGGGGTCTGTTCTTAAGAGACCTGGCACATTTACCGGGGTGCTATAGAAGCCAATAATGTCTCTTAACTTATACACCTTCCCAGGCTTCACACATATGCGCATACGCTCACACACTCAGCACACTGCACTTTTGTTTCATTATCCCAGTGCCTTGTTGGCCTCTGCTCTGCTTCTGCTAGGAAGGTTAAACGCAGGAGTGCCAGGCCAGACTGCACGGTTGGAGGGGAAGGGAACGGATGGCTTGGGGGGGCTTGATGAGAAACAGCTGCCCAGGATGGAAGGGGTCTAGGGGGGGTTTAAGGGGGTCCACCCCCCCTTCACCCCCACCACTCCACTTTTTTTGAGGGAGAGTGCTTTGACGCCCCTGTCTCATTCTAGCCATCGGTGTTAGAACAGACGGAGGCGTCCAGGTCAGACAGGCTCTGACCCTCATGACCTCTACCTCCTCACCAATGATGACAGATAAGACCACCACATCTCTCTGTTAGCCAAGATAATCCACTTTTACTTATGGTGTGACACACTCACAAGACACACACACACACGTGCACACACACTCACAAATACCCTTAACTGCATCCTTCTATTTCTCTCTAGTTCAGTCACTGCTTTCATTAAAATTACAATATATTGGAAAAAATCTGCAAATTAGTAGATGCATATCTGACAAGCGAGGAGAGAAATATAATTGGCAGAGTGAATTATCCTGACAGATTGAATTTAACAGAGCTTGGCAGCACCGACTTCTAATGGCAGTTCAGGGAGAGATCAAGTTGCACTCATAGAAGTCCTTCCACCAAACACCTTTAGCTAGCTGTGCAGTTCTCACACACTGAACATTCCAGACCCAGAAAGCAGGGGCCTGGTTAGTCCATCATTACTGCCTTGACACTGGGGCCCTGTTCCAATACTGTGAAAATGCATCCTTACTTCCAGCCTAACCATAGATGACTGGATGGGTCAAAGTTATGTATATCAGGGAACCCTTGTTTTTTTTATCCAAATGTATTAGATCAGTGACTACTTTAAGGAAGCGAGGAAGTAAGTGTGCACGTTTTTGAACAGAGTTTGTGTTCCATCCAGAGAGGATGGATAGTCAGGGCACTAAACTCAGGGAGGAGAGACTGAAAAGGGACATTAAGCATCCTGACTCACCGGTGTAGACAAATCTTCCAGGAGCCCCTTTGCAGAACTGCTTGGACTTGTAGGACAGCGTGACCTCCACCACACCGGGGATGTGCCTGGGAGGGGTCTGGACGCGGATGGCGTGGGGGGTGATGAGCTGGATGACAGGGCACAGGAACCATTGAGTCTGACCATGCCTACTAAGGTCTCGTACAAACTTACAAAAAAATGGATATCATTACCAGTGTTTATAGTAAAGGCTTAAAACCTAGGCTGAAATTCAATCAAATCAATGGTGTGACAAAAATACTGTACCTCACTCCATACAAGCATGGTCCCGAACACGACCTGCAGGCCGTCAAAGAAGTTGTCCCCAATGATGATGACAGTGGCCCCTCCTGTGGTCCATCCCTCACTGGGGCTGATGGCCTTGATGCAAGGGGTGGCTGCTTAACACACAGAAAATAAGAGCCTATTCAGTACCTACACTTCTACATAGCCTGATGTCTTTATCCCAATAGAAAGACATATCATGGAAATAAGCCTGGAGAGAGAGAAAATGATGGATTTGTCCTTTTAGGCACGAGAATAAAAATCATTCATCAGCATGTTGGAGTGATGTAAGCAGACCCTTCAAATGGTCCGCTTCACAAAGGCTAAGCGCTGGGCTCGTGAGTGGAAATGATTTGGTGTAGCAAATTATGTGTCAGGGCAAATGTAGCTATCAAAATTTATTAGGCATAGCCCTGCATGTACAGTAGAATTTGAAAGTTAAACACCTCATATGAGTCGAGAATAAAGCTGTAGAAGGTAAATGACAAGCCAAAGCTGTGTTGTTGGTTTCATGTCATTCCATTGTCTTTGTTCCCTGCGTTCTGGCATGTTGTTTAGAATGCAGTTTCACAACATGAATAAATTCATGAATTATTCAGGCTCAGTTTTGCCTTTTGTGATCGATTCAATCCATTTCACATTGTTTATTACAATGCTTTTCATCTGCCATGACTTTTGCGACATAGTTTTGCCATTCATCAGAGGGCTGTGAGTTACTATAATCGAATCAAACTCTTCCTGTCATTTGATGCATTACCTTAATATGGTGCTCACCCTGACACCATGTTTACAACAGGCATAGCATGAAAGCTAACCATAAAACAGCAAAATTAAATGTAATCTTTTTACATTAATATTTTGTGAATACAATGCAAACTGCACACATTCTTGTTCTTTTAACATTTTGTACTATTTATATGAGCACATTGCTGTAGTCCTATTATCACTCGAGTTCAGTAAGTAAATCCCCATCTGCCTTTGCTGTATGGATCACTACAGACAAGACATATCCCTTTGTTTGCTTTTCTGTTGGGGCTGTGCAGGTTATGTTTGCTTTCTCCCCATGAAGCGCACACGCACGCATGCACACGCACGCACACACACACACACACACACACACACACACACACACACACACACACACACGCACACACACACACACACACACACACACACACACACACACACACAAACACTACGGGAAATCGGACTTTAACAGGCGCTGTTGACTTCATGCTAATCACCCCTTACAGAATTTCATCTCTGAGGTCTGGACGAGTGACATTTGCTTTGCTTAATTGCTAAGCAGAGCATCTGAAAGAAGACCATCTCTCTGTGGGATCGCCGTGTCCCCTCAAAGGAGGTGACCTTCATCAGTGCTGCCGATTACGGCAAATAATTCCCCCTTCAAAATGACTGTAAACAAATTGACTTTGGGCCCGGGAGAGAGAGAGAGGGAGAGAGAGAATGAGAGAGAGACAGAGCGAGACAGAGCGAGACAGAGCGAGAGAGACAGAAAGAGAAAGAGAAAGAGAAAGAGAAAGAGAGAGAGAGAGAGAGAGAGAGAGAGAGAGAGAGAGAGAGAGAGAGAGAGAGAGAGAGAGAGAGAGAGAGAGAGAGCGAGAGAGAGAGAGAGAGAGAGGGTTGTTGATGGTGGTTGTTGGGGGGCAGCTGCAGACAGAAACCTACACACACACCACCTCGGAAATCCCAACGCCCCCCTCCCACACACAGAAAGGACCCATGGAGAGGGAGCGACCGGGGCCCTAAGCCGTCCACCCTTCTGCCTGAAAATTTGCATATGTCTCAATGCACAGACAGAGAGGGGAGCATGTGCTGAATGGGAACCGTGGCCAAGTGGATTACACAGGCAGCGCAGGCGATCTGATGATAGACACGCACAATTCCCCGCAGCAGATGATAAACATTGCAGGGAGGGAATGAGGATGGCTGAAACAAGGCCTGTCTGTGCATCACTCAACTTTTTAGGCGACCCGACCAAATTCACATAGAAATGTGTGTTATAGATCTGTCATTGTCAATAAAAGCAAGTCTAAGAAGCGATAGATCTGTTCTATGTGCACTATTTCTATGCTTCCCGTTCTTAAGTTTCATTTTTGCTTCTTTTACTTTCGGTTTTGTACACCAGCTTCAAACAGCTGAAAATACAATATATTTGGTTATGGAAAATATATTTCACAGCAGTTTAGATGGTACAATGATTCTCTACACTATACTTGCTTGTTTTGTCACATAAACTGAAATGAGGCAAAATATTAGAACTTTAGCAATCAGGAAATGGTGTAGCGATTTCTATATAATGCATCTTTAAGTAGGTTAAAACAATATTAGTTTATCTGTGAGCATTTTTTTATTTATAATGTGACTGTTGTCAAATGGCCCTAAGTGCAGATTCAACATCAATTTTGGTTCCTTTACTTCCTAATGGTTCAAGTTAGCACTATAGTACAGAAAACTGATCCTAGATCTGAGTTAAGGGCCAACTTCCGTCTGAAGCTCTAGTAGGCCTACTGAGCCACTCAAACAGGTCTGATGTGTCCGTGGATGTTGCGTCCTTTGTTCTGCCTGCTGAAATGTGTTGTAATTGTGCTGTGGGATGTCCAGATGGTCGGATGATAGTGCAGCTGATGGGATTATACCTTTTTACTCTCCCTGGGCCATCTGTTACCTCTCTCTCTCGCTCTCTCTCTCTCTCTCGCTCTCTCTCTCTCTCGCTCTCTCTCTCTCTCTCTCCCCCATCTCTCTCTCTCTCTCTCTCTCTCTCTCTCTCTCTCTCTCTCTCTCTCTCTCTCCTCTCTCTCTCTCTCTCTCTCCTCTTTCAGATGGAGTAGACTGGATTCACTTGTCTTTATTGCATAAACCATAACAGCATTACAGCATGCAAATGACTGGGGTGTGGCAGGCAATATGCTGAGTCTTCCATATTCTCCAAGTCTCTACGGTGGAGGTGGAACAATGGCTAAGGAACGGGTGGAGTGAGTGTGTATGAGGGAGTGTGTGTGAGTGAGTCTGCAAGTTGGTGTGTATTAGTGAAGAATTTTCTGTCTATTCATGTCTAAATGCATATGCTTGTGTGACAGCTCAAACATGCATGGTTCAGTTCAGTGTCACTAAAATAAATTCCCATTCAGCACCAATAGGGGGCAGCACTTGTTGAGCAGCCTTACACTGTCACCCCAGCATTGAGACAATGAACTGAGAGTAAGCCTGGCTTTCTCAGACACACAGACAGACAGTCAGCCATATCTGAGACTTCTCACCCAGTGAACACCTAGTGAAGAATGTGTTGCTAATTTAAAGCACGCTGTCTGTTTGCCTGGTGTCAGAACTCTATGGAAGACATGGATGGGATTACGTTTTATGACCGGGTATCCTGTTCTCATGTGTCACGTCTATGAGTGTCGGGTGCGGGGGACGCAAACAAGCAACGTTTTGGCTAAAGAGCTATGATACATTGCTAATACACACAAAGGGTTCATTTTCTACACTCAAGTACATTAGGTTGGGATGAAAAATAGATTGAGATATATTGGAAAGTGAAATTGAGTATATTATAGTTAAGTGACATTTTCTCAAACTCCATAATTGAAAGTTATCTAGTGATAAGGCACTCAAAATAAGGACTGCTATTTTGTGTATATTGTATGAATATCTATGTAGCTAAGACAGATACTAAGCTAGATTGTGTTATTGAAAGAAGATTGCTTTACGAGGCAAGCCTACTGCTCTTGCGCTTTGAAGAATGAGAAGGGGTGGGCAGGGGAAATCTGTGTGTAACCCTCATAACACACGCACACATACACACCCACACACTGTCCCGTGGGATGGGGGGAACATGGAGGAGAGGGCTCAACCTCCTTAATTGCTCTCCTCATTAAGACGCAGGTTGCTAGGCGATCCACACCTACCGTGTCATAAACGTGAGACACAGACACCAACAGAACGTCACTGAGCATAATGACTTCGATGCTTGAGGCAGGACTTTAATTATTAGATGTTGTTCTCTAGTAGAGGAGTCATTAATAAAGACTAAAACAAATAGATTAGCTCCTTTCCCCACTAGGACTGGACTACATAAGATGTATTAATTGTCTTGTCTGGTTTTTTTTTTATAACTGTTGTTGTGTTAAACGTTACATTTGCTTTTGGTGATAGGACCATTTATGGATATTAAAGGGGAGAGAAGGCCGTTTCAGGCAGTGGTGTGTGTATATAAACTGTTTGCCTAGCCATAATTGCCCCTTGAAATCTGAAGATAAGCAATTTGCACAATTGGTCTGCTCCGTTTTTTCCATAATCTCTGCTCTGTGCTCTCATCTACGAGAGGAGGCCAGGAGGGGTCAGGAGGTTATGTTTAGTGCATTTTACTTTTTGGATTTCCCATGGTTTCGTGGTCCTACTTCTCTCTCTTTTGGCAGAGCAGGCAATCAGTCTATCATATGGAATCAGTTGGAAGAAAAACAGTAAGTTCTTTTTTTCTCCTAGTCCGTCCCCCACCCGGGCAGGTTTCGGCATTCGGCGTCACCGGCTTATTAGCTACTGCCGATCAATTTATTATCACTCCATTTGTCTTGTCTTCAATCACACACACCTGGTCCTTATTCCCTCATTAGTCATGGCATAAGTGTTCCCTCTGTTTCCTTGTCTGTGTGGGTGATTGTTTATTGTGGAGGTATGTGAAGCTCGGTGGAGCTCGTGTATTGTGTATCGACGGGAGTATTTTCCCGTGTGCCTTGTATTTTCCAGTGCGCCTGTTTTGTGCCCTGGAGTGTGTTTGACGCATTTCTGCGTAAACCTGTATTTTGCGGATTAAAGCCTTTTATTCTGTGATTTACCCTCCTGCGTCAGATTTCTTCAACACCACCTCATCACAGAATCACCCACTCGATTATGGAGTCAGCGGGAGAGACGCACATGCTTGGAGTCGTGGAACGGGTCCAGAAGCATTCAACTATGCTAGCCAGCTTGGGTGAAGCGATGGGTCAGCTTCTTCAGGTCGTCCAACGCCTGGAGAGGAGAGAGCCTGATCCGTTGAGACCAGCTGGTCAACCGGATCCCGCCACCTACACCCCAGCACCCGGAGGGATCCAGATATCCCGACCAGCATCCGGCCGGTTCCATCGGAGCGGGAGAAGGTGTCCGCCCTCATCTCCTGCCTCTCGGGGAAAGCCCTGGAGTGGGCCAACGCGGTGTGGAACGAAGGAGGAGCCGCGTTGAAGAACTACAGGGAGTTCGCTCGCCTCTTCCGGGTTGTCTTCGATCACCCGCCTGAGGATCGAGAGGCGGGCGAGCGGCTGGTCCACCTGAGGCAGGGGACGAGGGCTGCGCAGGACTTCGCATTGGAGTTTCGAACTCTGGCAGCTGGGTCCGGGTGGAACGAGCGGGCCCTGATCGACCAGTTCCGGTGCCATCTGCGAGAGGACGTCCGACGGGAGCTAGCCTGCCGTGACACCATGTTGTCCTTCTCGCAACTGGTGGACATGGCCATTCGTTTAGACAACCTGCTGGCAACCAGAGGACGTCCTGGAGGAGGTCTGCCCGTTTCCATCCCGGCCGACTCGCATCCAGAACCGATGGAGATGGGTGGAACCGCTAGCCGAGAGAGCGGAGGACGACAGTGCCAGTGCCACACTAGTGGCGCGAAGGGACATTTCACCACACGTTGTCGTCAACACTCTTCTGGGTTTGGAGGTGGCAGGCAGGGCACTCTCGCATCACCCCAGGTATCGAACACCCACACTCGTTCAGAGCCCTCTGCTGCGCACTGTAAAATGCTTGTCTCCTTTCCTGAGCACATGGATGTTCCCCAGTGTAAGGCGCTAGTCGATTCAGACGCAGCTGGGAACTTTATGGACAGGGCATTCGCACACCGTATAGGCATTCCATTGATTCCCCTATCCATTCCACGCCCCATCAGAGCACTTGATAGTCGCCCATTAGGGTCCGGGTTGGTTAAGGAAGTTACTGCACCAGTCACCATGATTACCCAGGAGACTCATTGTGAGAAGGTTACTTTTCCCATTATTGAGTCTCCTGCTTTCGCTGTGGTATTAGGTATCCCTTGGCTAGCACTCCACAACCCCACCTTCTCATGGCCGCAGAGGGTTCTCACGGGTTGGTCGCGAGAGTGTCAGGGTAGGTGTCTAGGTGTTTCCGTTGGTGCAACCACGGTGGAAAGTCCAGACAGTACCTCCACCGTGCGCATTGCCCCTGAATACCTCGATCTGGCGCAAGCGTTCTCTAAAACGCAGGCTACTAAATTACCACCTCATCGGGCGGGGGATTGCGCGATAAACCTCCGGGTAGACTCTGTACCTCCCATGAGTCATATATACCCCCTGTCACAGGCTGAAACGGTGGCTATGGAAACATATGTCACCGAGTCCCTGCGCCAGGGGTATATACGTCCCTCCACTTCACCCGCCTCCTCAAGTTTCTTCTTTGTGAAGAAGAAGGACGGAGGTCTGCGCCCGTGCATTGATTATCGACCACTGAACAGGAAGACGACACGATTTAGCTATCCTCTCCCCCTCCTTCCTTCAGTGATTGAATCAATGCATGGGGCGCGCTTCTTCACCAATTTAGATCTCAGGAGTGCGTACAACCTGGTGCGTATCCGAGAGGGAGATGAGTGGAAGACAGCATTCAGCACAACCACGGGGCATTATGAATACCTGGTGATGCCCTATGGTTTGATGAATGCTCCCTCAGTTTTCCAGTCATTTGTGAACGAGGTGTTTCGGGACATGCTTGGTCGCGGTGTAGTGGTCTACATTGATGACATCCTGGTGTATTCCGCTACACGCGCTGAGCATGTGTCCCTGGTTCGCAAGGTGCTGGCCCGACTGTTGGAAAATGACCTTTATGCTGAGGCAGAGAAGTGTATGTTTTTCCAGCAGTCCGTCTCCTTCCTTGGATACCGCATTTCCACCTCAGGTGTGGAGATGGAGGGAGATCGCATTTCAGCTGTGCGTAATTGGCCGACTCCAACCACGGTTAAGGAGGTGCAGCGCTTCCTTGGCTTTTCCAACTATTATCGGAGGTTTATCCGGGGCTTTGGCAAGGTCGCAGCTCCCATTACCTCCCTGTTGAAGGGTGGGCCGTCCCGGCTCCGCTGGTCTGCTGAGAGTGACCTTCAGCAAACTGCGGGGTCTGTTCACCTCAGCCCCAGTACTAGCACACCCCGATTCATCACTACTGTTCGTAGTGGAGGTGGATGCGTCCGAGGTTGGGATAGGAGCTGTCCTGTCTCAACGATCGGGTACGCCACCCAAGCTCCGCCCCTGTGCATTCTTTTCGAAGAAGCTCAGCCCGGCGGAGCAGAACTACGGCATTGGTGATCGGGAGCTGTTGGCTGTTGTCCGAGCCTTGACCGTGTGGAGGCATTGGCTCAAGGGGGCAAAACACCCTTTCCTCGTCTGGATGGACCACCATAACCTGGAGTACATCCGGGCAGCGAGGAGGCTGAATCCTCGCCAGGCCAGGTGGGCCCTATTCTTCACCCGGTTTTATTTCACTCTATCATACATTCCGGGGACGAAGAACGTGAAGGCAGACATGCACGCTGTCCCGGCTGTATGACACAGAGGAGAGGCCCAGAGACAACACCCCCATACTGCCGGCCTCCTGCATTGTGGCGCTGGTAGTATGGGCGATGGACGCGGATATAGAGCAGGCATTACGCCGGATCCCTCTCCACCTCAGTGTCCAGACGGGCTACAGTACGTGCCTGCTCTTATCCGTGATCGTCTGGTCTACTGGCCACACACGTCACCCTCCTCTGGTCACCCAGGTATCGGCCGTACAGTGCGCTGCCTCACCGGAAAATACTGGTGTCCTACCTTGGCTAAGGATGTGAGGGTGTATGTCTCCTCCTGCTCAGTGTGCGCCCAGAGTATGGCACCTAGGCACCTCCCAGCTGGTACTTTACAACCTTTACCAGTTCCACAACGACCATGGTCTCACCTAAGTGTTGATTTTCTAACTGATATCCCAAGGTAACACCACCATCCTGGTCGTTGTGGACCGCTTTTCTAAAGCATGCCACCTCCTTCCTCTGCCCGGTCTCCCCACGGCTCTGCAAACTGCGGTGGCCCTGTTTACACACGTCTTCCGGCACTACGGGGTACCAGAGGTGGCATGCTTTAGTGTCTGACCGAGGTCCCCAGTTCATGTCCAAGGTCTGGAAGGTGTTCATGGCACGTCTGGGGGTCTCGGTCAGCCTGACCTCTGGGTTCCACCCCGAGAGTAATGGGCAGGTGGAATGGGTAAATCAGGACGTGGGTAGGTTCCTGCGGTCCTACTGCCAGGACCGGCCGGGGGAGTGGTCGGTGTTCTTGCCATGGGCAGAATATGCCCAGAACTCTCTCCGCCACTCCTCCACTAACCTAATGCCTTTCCAGTGTATTCTAGGATACCAACCGGTTCTGGCACCGTGGCACCAGAGCCAGACCGAGGCTCCTGCGGTGGATTACTGGTTTCGGCGCGCGGAGGAGACGTGGGATGCTGCCCACGTTCACCTCCAACGCGCCGTGCGTTGTCAGAAGGCCAACGCTGACCGCCACCGCAGTGAGGCCCCCGTCTTTGTACCGGGGGATCAGGTCTGGCTCTCGACCCGGAATCTGCCCCTCCGCCTGCCCTGCCGGAAGCTGAGCCCTCGGTTTGTGGGGCCGTTCAAAGTCCTGAGGAGAGTCAACGAGGTCACTTATAGGTTATTACTTCCCCCTGATTACCGTATTAACCCCTCGTTTCATGTGTCTCTCCTCAGGCCGGTGGTAGCTGGTCCGCTCCAGGAGGCTGAGGTGCGGGAGGTCCCTCCACCTCCTCTGGACATCGAGGGGGCCCCGGCGTACTCTGTCCGTTCCATCCTGGATTTGAGGCATCGGGTGGGGGGCCTTCAGTACCTTGTGGAGTGGGAGGGGTACAGTCCGGAGGAATGGTGCTGGGTTCCGGTGAGTGATATCCTCGATCCCACCATGTTACGGGATTTCCACCGTCGCCATCCGGCTCATCCTGCACCGCGTACTCCTGGCCGTCCCCGAGGCCGGGGTCGGCGCGCTACTGGAGCCGCGCGTCAAGGGGGGGGGGGGGGGGGGGGGGGTACTGTCATGACTTCCGCCGAGGCTGCCTCCCCTCCTTGTTCGGACAGGTTTCGGCGTTCGACGTCACCGGCTTACTAGCTACTGCCGATCCATTTATTATCACTCCATTTGTCTTGTCTTCAATCACACACACCTGGTCCTTATTCCCTCATGAGTTATGGTATAAGTGTTCCCTCTTGTTTCCTTGTCTGTGTGGGTGATTGTTTATTGTGGAGGTTTGTGAAGCTCGGTGGAGCTCGTGTATTGTGTATCGACGGGAGTATTTTCCCGTGTGCCTTGTATTTTCCAGTGCGCCTGTTTTGTGCCCTGGAGTGTGTTTGACGCATTTCTGCGTAAACCTGTATTTTGCGGATTAAAGCCTGTTATTCTGTGATTTACCCTCCTGCGCCTGACTTCTTCAACACCACCTCATCACACTCCTCCTCCCGCCCTCTCCTCTCAGCTGAAACTGCAGCACCCAGCAACAGGAAATCGACCTCACTGTGAATTATTTGCCAATTTCATAATGTTTTAAGTGCAATTAAACACTTGGACAAGATTGAAAATAGTATATCATTTTATAATCATTAAAATTACCAGAATTACTAGCATTATTAGAATGATTATTGTATACTATTTCCAATCCAAATAGTATGCATGAGGGAGGCAAATAGCGACTTACAGCACAGAATTTGAAAAATGTATGAACAGAGGGAACATTTAAATTTAAAGAAAATTAAGGAAAGCATGGCAAATAATAGGATGTAAAATGTGCCTACCATTCTCCAGATAAGGAGGCGTACCTTCTGAAGGGTCGAGTCTGCGAGCCCTTCGCCCATGCTTGGAGTTGTTGTGGACAAACATGTTGTCTGAGACAGCCAAGACATGGCCATCCACATTGACGGTCGTCGAGACAACAACCTGCAACAAGAGTGAAGGTAGAGCGTGTCATTTAGCAATCTGTAAGAAAGGGGCACAATCACGTACAAAACATAATCACACTTTACTGTTTTCAGATTTCCACATCAACATTTAGCACTCTCTGTAATCACTTTTGTTGACTCCACTCTGACGATTGTTGTCTTGAAGTCATTGATTCACAGAAAACATTGATCGACTCATCCATCTAGTTCCGTACGGTGGACAAACTGGACAAACTCATGAACAACTAAAACAAACCTCTTCTTTGTTCAACAAACATTTCCCCTGGATCAAAGTCTCACTCAATCCGATCGTGGGTTAAAGGCATTGTGGCTCTTAAAGCCTCAACATATCATAGTGCTTGTTGTTGTTCTGCTTTCTCTCCACCACATCTCCAAACAGTGGACTAGGCCATGAATGGAGAAAGTGTTTCCGAGCCGGAAATAGAGAGCCCCTCTCAGGTTCTCTTTGCCGGTGAGTGACCTCGGTGTAGCCGTGGAATTTGGAGGGTGCTTTTTTGGTTCGTTTTGGGGGGAAAGAGGGGGAGTTGGGAAGGAGGTAGGGGGGCAGAGTAGGGAGGTGAAAGAGCTCCATTCTTGCTCACAGGTTCAGAGCTGGGCCAAGCTGCGCATGATGGATGTGGCCCTCTCTGGCCTCAAGCTGGTTTTGGTGGGGGGGTAATAAGAGTCAAAGGCAGAATACACAACCTTGGCCGGAGAAACACCTACAGTGGAGCATCTGGTAAAACTATCTGGGAAAAACGGCATTCAGGCCATTAGAATGGAGACCAGAAAAGATAGCCAAAAATATTGTAAGCCTTGGCCTACAATAACCCCCTTCCACCCCAAAATACTCCAAAAATAATTGCCAGTTGATTCCCTATAAATACTGTGAATCTAGATTTGTTTAAATACAAATGGGGTAGAAGTTGTATACAACACTAACTCATACACCTCCTGTTACATATGCCTGAGGGAGATTTTTTTTGATAGCTCAGTAGCTGTCATAGCTGGGGCAGTATGTCCCAGTCTCTTGTGAATCTAGGAGTAATGCGATGGTAGAGTGAACACCTGAGCTGTTTGTGAAGACATTGACTCTGTTAAGTCCAGTTACCCCCCTGAGGGAAAAGGAGACGAGGGAGGTCTAGTGGTGACATCAGAAACAGTCTGTCTGTTTCATGTCTGAGGGTTGCTGGAGGAAGCTAGTTTGGTGTGTCTGTCATGGCCCATGATTGGCAGTGACTGATGGCCCTTGGAGTTTGTGGCAAGGCAGATAGGATACCTCCACTTTATTCAGGCCTGACCTCCTTCGATATGTCGATCACTAACTTCAATGGCACCCTTCCACATTTAATAGAGCATGTATTTTAGCTTCTGTAGCCTCTTAGACATGGGAGTATTCAACAAGATAGACGTTTCTTTGCTCGTTCTATAATATCACTGCTGGCAGCAGTGTACTGGAAAATACCTCTCGTTGGCTGCACAGTGAATAATTGTGTGTGTATGTGTGTGTGTGTGGGGGGGGCTAACCCTGAGTTAACACTGTTGTTACATGTGGTAGGATCATTCTCCCTTCAGTGCTGTGGTTCAGAAAGCTGTCAGGGCCACAATTGATAGCACCTCTGAAATCCCATATCCTTATTTGTGTCAGATGGTGTTCTCCAATAAATATTCCTTACATGTGTTCAGCAGCACACTGACACGCTCTGCAAGGGTGTGTGCATGTAAACCTGTGTGAGTGTAAAGCTGTGTGCGTGTAAACCTGTGAGTGTGTGTGTGTGCGTGTGTAATTCTTTGTAAATTTCTGTTACCTGGAACCTGCGCATGTCTCTGGGATTCCCTGCATTCTTCAGACAGTTCTGATTGCACTTCAGGAAGAACTTCAGGAAGAATCTGAATAAGAGCACAAAAGAAAAATAGAATTTAAGTACACGGTTCTAGAATGGAACGGAATAGAATAGAATAGAACGGAACAGAAGTATTGCCAGTCTTGCATGGGGGACAGTACAGTCACCATAGACAGATAAGGAGGAAAGAGAAAGGAATATTTAGAGTAAGTGAGCAGGAGAGAGGTGACAAGAAATGAGAAGCAGAGGTACAAAGGTGTGATTTTATGTTTTACAAAATAGTAAAAAATATAAAATAAAATTTAAGCATAGAGCCATTCAATAATTCATATGGAATGGAATTCCAAAAAGCCAATACAGATCCATGTCATTCAACCTGTTAACTACAAATATATTACACCAGTATCAAACCAATAGATATTACTCATCTGTTTAAAATAATGTAGATATCTTCTGTTGCTTCTAATATCCCTTAGCAGCAACCCTTTGTCATATCATCCTCTCACCTGAGTTCACAGCCTGTTCCCAGACCCATCTGCTACTAGCATACAGGAAGTCACTTGATATTCCACCCACCTATTTAATCCCAGAACACCCCCTGTGCAATTAAAGTTGTGCTGTTCAATAGGGAGGCAAATGAGGCCCACCTGTGACCAGGTCTTGTTTGATGAGCATCAGGGAGAAAGGACCTAACAAGGTGAGAGCGCGCCACAAAACTTATAGTCCTGTCAGACAATTAGGCGGCCACTCCTGGGACCTTCGCTTCACGCCACACACACACGCACACACACGCGCACATGCACACGCAAACACACACACACACTCATGGGTGGGTGAGGCAATTATGCCACAAATTACAACCTGGCTAATTGTCTACGAACAAATGTCATGTGAGAGAGTGAGATCTGGGGTTGGTTAGTCTTTGAGTCTCTCTCTCTCTCTTTCTCTGTCTCTCTCTCTCTCGCTGCGCTTCAGCTGCCAAGTGTTTGCCTGTGAACGTCAAATGAACGTCAGGTCCCTGTGATTTTATTGAAAAGGCCTCCTATCGTGAGCTCTCCTTTTAAACATAACCTTTCCGTGTTCCAGTAGATAACATGACAAAGGAGACAAGTGGAAGACGCTTAACGGTCCCTGACTTGGTTTACTGTCTCCTACTACAAATGTCTTCCTAAACCTGACAGTGGGATCAATGATTATATCAGCAGAACGTACTGCAACACACTTTAATTGACTTCCTTATCATGTACAGTATATACATGCTACAGAATCATATGGATTCATGCTACTTGGCTCCCGCCAAGTTTGATGTAAACAGTAATGGTAATATGACACCACCATTCATTGGTTTAATGTGCAATTTCATGGTTTCCATTGAAAAGCAAAATTGGCCAGTTATTTTGTTACCGTGTGTTTCTTTGCTTCGTGTAGAGCTTGTTGCTTAGGAGGGCCCTTTCTCAACACTTAGCCTCCTACTTCTCACTCCATAGTGGGATCTGGGCCAATGCAATAAATCAGTGTCTTGAAACAACCCCCTAACCCTGGCCACATTAATACATGCACTGGTCATTTAGAAGCGTTCTCCAATAGACTCTAATACCCCTCAGCACCACTGCCAGCCCCAAAGAACATGAGAGGTGAGAAAATATTTTCACTCACCATCCAAGGAGCTTTGGCTCCGACATCAATAAAAAATGTTTTAAGCCACGCCAAAATGCTGATTGCCTGTTGGTGTGCGGCAAGGCCATAAAAAACCTGACTTGTCATTAGCGCATTTCGCCTGATTGTGTTCAGTGTGTTTTTGGTTGCATCTGTTGGCCGATCATCAAAATGACCATTATGTACTCTAATTCCCTGACCCTGTTTTTATTTCCCCAAAGAGTCGTAATGCAGAGCAGTAGACATCTGCCGAAAGCAGACCTGAAATACAACTTTTATTTGTCTGTCGCCTCTCATATAGATTGGGTTAGACTAGTGTGTGAGTGTGAGTGTGGGTAAGCGCCTGTGTGTGTCCAAGATTGATGTGCTCTGAATGTTCAGCACCTTGTGCAAAAAAAATATATATATATACTGTATATGGAAAAAAATAACGTAGACGTTATTGAAGCCACATGTTATTTTTAACATGGGGCTTTCCTGTACTTTCTTCTGTTGTGTTGTAGTACAATTACAAACGGTAAAACTGCAATAAAACAAAAAGTGAGCAATAAATAGAAAAGGACAACTTGGGAATAGAAAGCAGCCGTACTATCGTGAACTACCTCTTTTATGTTTACTGTTATGAAGACGATTAACCACAATTTCCCAGCTAACAGATAAGCTTCATTTTAACGGTAGTCCATGTTAGTGGCAACAGTATAGCATCATTACATTAGAGTTGGTTAACATTCTACATGAGCACACTGGAAATTGGTCCTTGGTGAAAAGGCAAGCAATTAAGACCAGCATCTCTCTTTTACTTCTTAAATATCTACAGAACTTTGTGGTGGTGTTTTGGCACGCTCTGAGACAAAAACGAGGTTGTTTAATTGTTTTTTAATGGGATATCAAGGCGACGACGCCATTATATGTTGGCAACGGAGGGCAAAGGGGGGATCGAGAGAAAGAATGAACTGCAATTAGGTTTGATTAAAGCTATCCTTCTCAATAATCAGCGCTAGAGACAGGACAAGAGGACCCTGGTGGCTGTGGAGATGGAGGAAGGTGTAGAGTAATATTAAGGCCAATGAAGGGGATATTAACATGGCTAATTAAAGCAACTCCTCCAAAGCCGGGAGACGAGCGAGGCTCTCAGTGGACCGCCGTGGAGGAAATCATCGGCCCAGCCAGCTATCAGTTGGAGGAGAGAGAGAGAGTGAGAGGGCTGTAGTTCATCAGAGAGAGGCTGAGAGAGGAGATAGAGTGGGGGTGGGAGAGGGAGAGAAAGAGTAGGGGAGAGGAAGGGAGGAGGAAACTATGAAGTGGGAAGAAAGTCAAAAGAGAGAGAGGGAGACAGGCGAAAGCCTAAAGAGATAGACTTCCAGTACTGGAGAGAAATGCTCATTTTGACACAAACCTCTCCCTATCTGAAGTCTGCCCGTATAACTAAGACCTAACATCAGCTTTTATCTTCCGACAGGCAGAGTTACAGGTCCACAAATCAACGCTAAAACAATCC